GCCATATGCGCCGCAGACGCGTGCCGTGATGCACAGATCAGCTCTAGCGTCACTGAATCTCCTGTTAAAAATGAACCATCCATTCATCATATCATCATGCAAAATTAAGAATTAGAATCATTGTAATGTGACGATCAAATATAGGTGCGGGTGGGTAGCAGGTGGATAATTTATTTGAAGCAGCGGACTCGGGTGAAGTTTAAGCCCATCCGCGCATCTCTACACTGACCTGAGTCACCAGTAGCAAACAATGGAGCACGCTCTGTTGGACAAACTAAGTTCAGAAGCATTTAATCTGCATTGTATGTTCTGTAAAAAAAATTTCATATCATATTCGCCGATACGATATGTCTGCGACAGGCTCATATCGGCTGATAATATCTGCAAAACGATATATCGGTCGGGCTCTACTAAAAAGTAAATATTTTACCCAGTCTTGCTCAAATTGTGGGTAGAACCTGAATCATGAGTTGTAGCTAATGACAGTGAAATTGTTGAAATGTCCAGAACCATGTTGAGACATACTGGCCTCCAAACGTTCTACTAGCATGAATGTGCAGCCACAAGTGGAGTGCAAATTAATTGGACATGGTTTGCCAGAACATGTAAACTGTGTTAATCAGCAAGACACTTGTCTTTTGAGACACATTATATATAAAAAAAGGACAAATAAAAATTGTGTTTTTGAGAAAGGACCTCACCAAAAGGATGTACAATGGCACTTGGGATTGTAGAAGAGCTCAGTGTGGTTGTGAGAATTGTCATCATCATTGTCAAACATAAAGCCCAGACTCCAACACTGTAAATTCTGATGGAAACGAAGCACATGCAGAGAAGAGATACATTTCATTCCATCCCACTGCTCAAGCAGCCACTGCATTCACGAATGAGTACAAATGACTGTTATTGCTTTCTGTTTCTAAACTAATTCATATATTTTGTTCAAAGATTTTGCAGTCGCCTTGCAATACAGCCCCTTGTGTATTCAAGACTTAAAACTACATCTGTGCCACAGAATGCTGTGTGCTTTGTTTACCCAAAACTGAGCAGTTGAGCAGGTCAAGGTCTTTGGGAAACAGCATGACGTTTTACAAATTTCTTTACAGATAAAAGACATACTGTACTGATGAAGCTATTTAAAAACAAAGAGTCCCAATGTTACAGCTAAAATTCAACCATTCCATGACACAACTCACACACTGACAACAACATGACAATAATCACAGGCATGGTGTTCCCAACTAGCTTCTCTAGACACCAGAGGGCATTCTGGGCTTACAAAACAAGATGGACAAAAAGGCCCAGTAACATCAGGCAGAAATGGTGAACACAGCTATAGGCAGTAAACAGAGATTTTGCAACCACTAGACAAGCTCAAGAAATTACAATCAGTGGCTCATCTACAAAAGCACAAACGATTCAGCTGGTACAACAAAACTGAAAACCATTTTAGAGCTTATAGTGCCTATCTACTATTTTTAGTAACTCATAGATCTTGTTGAATTTGTAAAGGGGATATTACAAAGAATGATCATATGTAAAATCATATTTACTTCCTTTATAAGGACACTGATAAGATACAAAATAAGATGTAATATTAGGCTTATTTCCTGACATTTATACACCATATGGGTGATGTAATGTGAAGACTGCAATACATAACAGATGTCTTTATATGAAGTCTTGCAAAATAAGCTATATATTTGTTATATTAATAAATAAGCACAGACTTGGTGTGGGAGTTATGTTTACCATTCACCTTTACCGTTCAAGGTGAACACTTTAGGTTTAAGGTATCAGGTTAGGGTCACTAAATTGTCCTGAAATGTAAATATAAGCTCAGATATACCTTCTCTCACAGAAAAAAAAAATACAAAAAGGGTATATTTAGCAGTACATCAATTTGTCACTGGGGCATCTTAAAGGGACATCTTTGCATCTAAAGGTTTATAAAAGATTCCCTTAAGGGTACTACTCTAAGGCAGGGATTCGCAAACTCCTGGGGGATTAAGAGGGAACTGCAGGGGGTTTGTGAATTGATGAAAAGCATGTAACATTAAAATTAGCAAATGAGGCTTTATAAATAATCGATAAAACTGAAATAGCAATATCTTTTAAAACCGCAATTATCAAATAAAAGACCGGAATCTAAAGAAGTAGCTATAAAGTTAAAAAGTAGCTGTATAGTTTACACACACACACACACACACACACACACAGGCAGCTTGTAATACTATGTTTTGAGAGCAGCTCAGTTTACAGTTAATGCGTCTTTGACAAACCCATCTTTGCAAGTGCCGTGAGTTTAATGAACATTTTGTAACACAATGTGTGCTGTTCACAACAGTATGTTTCCCAACAGAAACCATATGAAACATTTTCCTATAATATAAGGTGTAAGGAAGTAAGTAATGTTATATATAAATAAACAACATAAAACACTAGCATTACTTACTCTGTTTACTTGTATGTTATGTGACAACATCCAAGAAATCATCAACCAACATCAGAGAAATAATAACTTAGCAATTTTCTTTTTACATCTAAGGGGTGTGGCTGACCAAATTGTTTGGGAACCCTAACTCTAAGCTACTAATATACACCTTTTCAGAGTAGATAAGAAGCAAAGTTGTCCATTTAAAGGTGCTGCCTGGGTGCTAAGCAGCTTTACCCCTAAAGGTACATACTGTGCACATTCTTTTCTGACAGTGTTTAAAACAAATACATCAGAAAAAACTCCATAAACCAAGTGTTTGTGTAAGCAGATAAGTTTTATGGATCTCTCACCAGTTACCTTGATACTGTGTCTATGGGCAGCATCCATTACAGCTGGCACTACATCCTCTGTGGGTTTGCCATGTTCATCTGCCACATCAGGAGGGTACCAGGACAGGACCACCACACCTGGCATCAAAAGTGGAAATATTTTGTCTCTTTAAAGGCTTTTTTTAATGGTGAACGACCATCTACATTGTACTATAATAGCCAAAGAAACATAAATATAATAAATGACAAGCACAATTCATCAAATTGTATCTTGGCCATAAAACCTGCAGCCGCCGCTTCGATTTGTGCCATGTGGGATGTAAAACAGTGATTGTTATGCAATTATATGCATTTCCATCATTAGTATGTTTTACTTTTGTTTACCTCTTAATGTTTGTATATAAAGACTTATGGTTATTTTTAATTTAAAAAAAAGCAATATGAAGTAAAAACGTTTGATAGTAATAAAAAAGTCTCGAATTGCTTGTATTACTGCCAGAACATTCATCAAAATGGAAAAAGAATCTTATTGCTCAGAATACTACTGCTTGCTGCGTGATAAAACTGGTAATGTATATCGAAATATCGGAAATGTGTTTAAAAATCATATCACCGTTATTGAAAAAAATTATATCGCGATAGATATTGATATGGAATTATTGTCCAGCCCTAATAATAATAATGCCATAAATCTATATTTCTGAACTCTGAACTCCTCCCCCAGGTCCATAACCCCGCCCTCATGTGTAGATCCTCCGCCCCTCGCCCGAAACCCCACCCTCATGTGTGGATCCTCCGCCCCCTCGCCCGCAGCCCCGCCCTACACAGGCAAGCTCGCAGAAATTACAGTACATTTAGTGCAGAATCATATCTGTTGTCTTGTCATCAGACTTAAAAAATTTACCTATACTGCAATAACTGATCCGGACTCGTCCCAATAATTCATAGTTTATGAGAGATTCTGAACCCCAGCAGGTTTTCAATCCATCAAACTCTTTCTGTCTTCCGTTTGAAACGTTGTTTGATCACATTTAATGTCCTGCGACGACATCTAGTGGAGAATAAGACAACAAGCTGTGTTGTTTCTTCATAAAACATCATAATGTGAGAATCGGTGAGAAATTAGGATGAATAAATATGGCTAGAGAGCCCTGAATCAGTAAATGAGTGTTGTTGTTTTAGAAATGTTATGGGAGCACAGGGGATAGTTGTAGTCTACATTCTTCTAAATATCTTCTTTAATGTTAAGCAGTATAAAGAAAACCATACAGGTCTGGAACAGCTTGAGAGTGAGTAAATTATGACAGAATTTACATTTTCACATGGACTATCTTTAAATCCCTTTGGGGAAGTCGTGGCCTAATGGTTAGAGAGTCGGACTCGTAACCCAAAGGTTGTGGGTTCGAGTCTCGTACCGGCAGGGATTGTAGGTGGGGGGAGTGAATGTACAGTGCTCTCTCCCACCTTCAATACCACGACTGAGGTGCCCTTGAGCAAGGCACCGAACCCCCAACTGCTCCCCGGGCGCCGCACCATAAATGGCTGCCCACTGCTCCGGGTCTGTGTTCACTGCTGTGTGTGTGCACTTAGGATGGGTTAAACGCAGCACACTAATTCCTAGTATGGGTAACAATACTTGGCCACATGTCACTTCACTTTCACTGTCACTTTCAAATGTTGGATTTTGAGGCATTGATTTTGGTATGTACAACTCAAACAATCACTTTTGTGATATTCAGAGATTATAATTACTTGTTATTGTGATATTTACAAAGCCGCTTTTTGAGGCAATAAACTCAAAATACCACTGCTCCGGGTCTGTGTTCACTGCTGTGTGTGTGCACTTAGGATGGGTTAAACGCAGCACACTAATTCCTAGTATGGGTAACAATACTTGGCCACATGTCACTTCACTTTCACTTTCACTGTCACTTTCAAATGTTGGATTTTGAGGCATTGATTTTGGTATGTACAACTCAAACAATCACTTTTGTGATATTCAGAGATTATAATTACTTGTTATTGTGATATTTACAAAGCCGCTTTTTGAGGCAATAAACTCAAAATAGAACACATTCTGATTTGTACAGCATTGGAAGCCATTTACATTTTACTCATGGAGGTGGAGCATTGAGCACAATAAGCCAGTCTGACCCCCCTCAGAGTGCTGAAGATGGTACAGTCCGTTTCCAAACGCTCTGTGAACTGTTCAAGAGACGGAATGCCACACACACACACACACACACACACACACCGAAGATGCCCTGATACACACCTGTTCTGCCCAAGACAAACATGATGAACGCAGAAATGAAAACCATCCTGCTGTAGGGCTGCTCATCATTGGTAAGTGAAGCTTTAATCTAGAATACTAAAAGCGTTATATAAGTGTTAATATAGATCAGCATTTAACATGTGAAGAAAATATTGTATTTTAATATGCATTTTTTTGGGTTAATTTGACTATGAAAAGTCATGCATGTTAAGATATTACTGCAGTTATATTACAGCATATTATAAATATAATATAAATATTACAGCAGATATAAATCCAGTTAACATTTGCTTATTAATGCAGTTTTGAAATACAGATACTTTAACATTTTGCTGTGTTTGAGAGTAAAGGACTGTGAAAATCATCATGTGTGTATAGTGTTCTGATTAAAGGTCAGTCCTTTGGGCAGATTTCTGTCAAAGGTTAGCCTGCTCAAATTACAGTATCAGTAACATTAAGTATGATCAGTAATAACTATCTTGAAAAATATACATCAATTCAGATCTCCAACGGATAGCAATCGTAGTGTGTATTTGGCCTAAACTGGCACAGCACAAGCATTTTCTCCTATAACATCAGCTATGATCCATGTGTTTGGTTTGGTATAGAAATATATTACACACATGCAAATAATAGGATGCTTTAGAAATTTTAAATCTAAAAATTTTAGAAATGTTTTTAATGATTTTTTTTTTCAGATATACTTTTAGACAAGAGTCAGGTAGATTATAATGGAGTAAATACATAATGTAAGTATGAGAAAAGTGATGATAAAAATATAAAACTATACCATAATAAAGTGCTGAAAATTACAAGAATAAATTAAGGTTCAGGGTGTGTTGTAACATTTTGTTTAAACTAAACTCTTTGTAACTTTTTACTCATATTGACACTATATTCCCACTTGTATCTGCTTCTAATTATAGTGATGTGCTACTTCTCCCATAACGGTGTTTAAATTTGTGTTGAGTAAAAAACAACTTCTACCTCGACAGGTTGTTGGACACGCTTAGTGATTTCAGTCATGTAGCTCATTAATTGTGACGACTGGTGTTGTTATAACACTCCCTGTGAATTCCCATACTTAATGAGTGTCGTATTGCAGAATTTAAATAACAAATTTATAGCCGCACAGTAGGGCTGCACGATAAATCGAAATGGAATCGAGATCGCGATTCAACAGAAGCTGCGATTGTCATACGTATCTTTCAGTGAAGCACGGTTCTATGATCAGCAGTAAATCGCCATCCAAAGGCCAGAGGGCGCTCTCGCGCTGAAACTCCAAATATGCCTCGCAGAAGAAACCTAGAAAATGCTGCAGCTGAATAAACAAAAGATTCATTGATTCAACGTGACTAATAAACACACGACTATGGCAATATATGGTTTATCGGAGTTCTTATTGTTATAATTTTCATTAAAATAAGGTATATTTATAATGCAATGCCTTTATCACTGCTTAAATACTATGAAATATGTTGCGTGCCTTATTATGTGCAAGAAGCCACATCATCTCACAGAAGGATTTATTTCAAACACTCGACTGACGTTATGAAGTGAGTTTGGAGTAAAAATATGTTATTAAATGTGGTATTTTCACATGCTTTCAGATGGAGCAGCATTTACTTCACAGAGCCGTAGTTCACTGAGAAGCTATGCAAGCAGCTGTCATTATGGCCAACGATTTCTTCGATTTCATAATCGTGCAATAAAATCGTCTGCGATTTTTTTTGCGTAGCTTGTCAGTGAACTACGGCTATGTGTAGTAAATGCTGCTCCATCTGAAAGCACGTGATGATGATTTCCTGCTGATTACAGAACCGGCACTACTATCAAAATGCGCATGACAATCGCATTCGATTAATCGTGCAGCCCTACCGCACAGCAATTTAGAAATAACTCTGCCAGTGTGCAGCAGATTCAGAGAGGACTTCATCATCATAAAGCAGTCAGACAAGCCTTCTCCGAGCTGCTGTTCTCATTCTGGGGCGATCTCTTTAACCGAATGAGTCACCGTAGAGCAGAATAAGTATCTCATCAATGCTTGTCTCTTTACCCCCCGCCTGGTGTTCTAGGACATGCAGCTATTATGCTGTGCAGTGGAGAAGAGCAAGGGATGCATAAATGTGCTGTTGGTACTTTTGATTCCCAGCAACATGTGGTTGTTGTGTAAGACGTCTCAGTGTGGTATTCTGGGTAATTCAGCACAGTCAGCCCACGCTTTTCCTTGCTTTGTGAGACGCCTAGAGTCGCACTGTGTTCACTTTGACAAGACATTTAATCATCTTTCAGCCTCTCTCCTTCTCACATTGTCTTAAAGACAACAGCTAGTTGAATATATTAGTTTTTATCGGCTTTTGTTGACAGTGTGCAACAAAGATATTGAGCGTACTGGATTTGTATATTTTCTGAAGAATCCGTGTGTAGTGTTTGCCTGTGAAAAAGTTGTTGCACAGTGGTTATCGTGGCATTGTTCCCAAAGCTTGTTAATTCGTTCTTTCATTTTTAGGTAATAACATGGCTACAATTCACTTAAAACAAGCGAACAAATTAATCAAAGGTATCCACGATTTAACTAAAATGAGGAAATTAATAAGTGTGGGAAATTATTCTTAATTCTTTTTTTTTATGCATGTCATGTTCAAGGCTGCGTAGAAAAGTGATAGCATACTAGTTGCACAGTTCGAGGTATGATGCATGTTCATTATAGTGTGAGAATGAGTAATACTAATACTTAGGATGAGGGGTTTTGGAAAAACTCACATCTATGGGCAATAACAAGCACTATTAATAATAAATGTTTTGTGTTGTTCAGTCATGAGTCTTAGCATTTCTATCATGATGTTAACTTGAGCAGAAATACTGCACGCATATGCACAGTATTAAACACTTGTACATTTACACATTCGTAATTGAATGCACACATCACACACAAACTGTTTAGGCGTTTAAGGTTTCTCACAGGATGATGTTACATCCCTAGGATGTATGTATTTAAAAGAGTAATTGTTGAGGTGTTTTTCCACCCTTTTGGGTGTGGTTATGTGTCCCCTGTGCGTGTGCTCTCTCTCCTCCTATCTCTCTCACTCTCTGCTTGCTGGGCAGTTCCAAATTACCCACAGGTGGTGCTCATCAGAGAGTGTGCTGCAGACGGAATACAGCTACAAAAGAGCAGAGTGAACCCTGTTTGGAGAGGCTCATTTCTCCCCTGCTCCAGACTTGTGTTGGGTGTTTTCTCTTTAAGACATCTGTTGCTTGAAGGGGTAACTTAAATAGTTGTCTGTTAAGTGTATACTTCTGAAAGTCAGTTGTATCCCGGTTGGCTAGCTGATTGTGTTGTAACCATATAGTGTATGTAAATTTACTTTAATCTTACTTTTCTTGTTACGGTATTAAAAGGTAATGTAACTCGTTTTGGTTTATTTGGTTTGTGCTTAGGTTGGAAGCTCTAGGGAGAGGGTGCCATTTGATTTTGTACTCCTGTTTATCCCTGTTTTTGGTCAGTGAGGGAGTTGAGGAAAGCTTATGTTGTTGATTTCTTTTCCTTTACTCTCATAGGTTATTTAGTACTCCTCCTGTTAGTCAGCTGCTATTTTGGTTGTTGTTTCGGCCAGGCTCTCTCCTGAAGATATTTATTACTTCCACAAATCTGGCTTTCCTAAATAAAGTTTGCCAAACTAGGTGGTGTTGTTTGCATTTTTTCTGGAGCAGAGGACTGGAGTGATTCCTCCGCGTTTTATTAATTTCTTGCGTATAAATTTTAGCTAACCTGTTACTCCCACTCCCCAACCCTAGACTGTAACAATGAACACCGGATGAAACATCTCTCTCTCTTTCTTTAATTAATTGTACTGTCAAGATAAAAGGATGTTTATAGAGAAGCCTTTATTTTTTTAATCCTCTAAAACACCAACCAGAGATCAACGGGTTCCCTTTAGTATGTTACACAAGATAAGATTTACTGAGTTACAGACAGGGTTATTTACAAAATTCACTTTGGAACACTAGACAGAATAACTGAATAACAAATTCAGAATTATTCAGAATAACAAAATTAACTGGCCGATCGGACACAATTGGGAGCCAATGGCATTAATCAAAAAATGTCAAATTAATCTGGTTAATATACTGTATTACCAGCCCTTTTTGCATACTTAAAAAAAAAAAAAAAAAAACTTTAAAGTAGTATACTTGAGTGCAAACTGAATGCAATGTTTTCAGACACTAAAGTGCATGTTAGTGAAACGAGAGTGTATTATAGTTCATAAATACTTAATAAATGCAAATTAACTTTAGAGTGCTTTTTGACCCACTTAGGCAGGACTTTATAAATGACATCTTTATATGTAATTTCACAATTAATTCTATCGTCTCTGGAATAAGCTTAACGTGTACTGCTGAATGTACTGACAGACATTTATGGTAAACTAAAATATACTCCAATGCCATTTCTACTGTAACTTGTATGTCTTGCATTTAAATACATTTGTAATAATGCAATTATAAATTTGTAATGATTAAGTTGCATTTTTGGCCATTTAAAATATTTGAATGCGACACCATGCATAAAACATGCGTAAAAATGACACACTACAGTTAAAATGATAATCGAGTGCTTTACTTGTGCTTCAGTATCAACACATCAAAATAAGTCTACTTTAACACGACAAAAGATTACGATCTTTAAAGATTAAATCATTTTTAATGTACTTTAAAATAAAATGTTTAAATTGACATTACAGTGCCCTTTTAAAAATGAACTTAAGTGTGTTAAAAAACATAATTATGAAAGTCTGTTTAACTGAAAAACTGAGTGTTTTCTATTGTCCTCCTACATTATCGACACACTATGTTCCTGTATGACACTGTAAAGGTGCTTTGACACAATCTGTATTGTACAAAGCGCTATATAAATAAAGGTGACTCGACTTGACTTTAAATACACTTAAGTGGCTGTTTATTCCATTAACGTTATATTTTCTGCAAGTACAGTTTAAGATTTGAAGTACACCACAAGTGCACATTCAATACAGTTATGCAAGCCTCTTTTTCACAATGGCAACCTTTTTTT